GCTGTTCTGTTCAGACAAGCGATAGTGTCCAAGCAAATATGCATCGAGTCTTTGCTTGAACGTCTCCGTGGTGTCCGCCATTATTACGTCCTCGGGAAGCCCGTTCCAGGCACCGACGACTCGCTGTGAAAAACAGTATTTGTGAACGTCCAGGCGGCATCGGGATCCTCTAAGTTTTAGAGAATTCCCACGCAGGTTTGTTGTTGTGGCCAGGGTGAAGAAATCGTCGGGGTTTAGGGCACATTCCCGGTTCCTCAATATCCGATAGGCCTGTATGAGATCTTCTCGAACCTGTCTGTACTCAAGAGGAAAAAGTTTAAGTTCCCTAAGTCGGCAGTTGTAAGGTAAATTCCTGAGGCCTTTTACAATTTTTGTTGCTCTCCTCTGAACTCTTTCTAGCAACTTATTGTCTTTTTTAGCCACGGGCGCCACGCTTGGATTCCATATTCCATATGCGAGCGAATGAACGCTCCGTATACTTTTCCAAATAACTCTTTGTCTATGTCCACGAAAGATCGTTTAATGGCAAAGAGAACACTAGTTGCTCTTTTGGACGCCCTAAGACACTGAGATGAAGGCTTAAGTGTCGACAGAATGTTAATCCCAAGATCTTTTTGTTCGGTTACATTTGAAAGGCGCCTTCCACCAAGTTGGTAATGGTGATCCTCTCCGTCAGATCTTCCAGTCGTTTTGAGTCGCAGTGCGACGCACTTCTCTAGGTTAAACTTTAGCAGCCATTTGTCAGACCATTCGCATAGGCGGTTCAGTCCTTCTTGCAGGGCCCGTTCATCATGTTCGCCGTTGATCGCTCGCCATAACTTGATGTCTTGGCTTCGTCCGGCACGTGTGATTCCCCTTGTCGTATGGTCTGGGCGGTTTTCGGACGTGGACATGGAAACTGACGAGAACGTCTGTTCATCCCACGCGCGTTCGAATAGGAGACACAAAAATGCACAGGAAGGTCCGATAACTGTGCCGCTCTCAGCCGTGGACACATACTTCACAGCAAATGAGAACGTGATCCGCGACCTGCTTTTCGATGCGGTTCGCTACCATGGTTTCCCTGCTTATTGTGTTTACGAACCCCCAGCGCATGCCATATGGATGCGCAGAGCCTTGCTAAATTGGCTGCGGGAGGTGTGCGAGCATAGAAATACGGAGGTGGACGTGCTTGCTCACACTGCTCAATTTATTGATCGGTTTCTGCAGATAATGCCCACTGATAAGAGAGAGAGTACCAGTTGGTTGGCGCTGCGTGTTTCTTGATTTCGAGCAAATTGAAGGAACCTTCCCCAGTTTCGGTCGAACACATGGTCCAGTACACAGGCTTCTCTGTTAGTCGTCAAGATCTCTTGGACAAAGAGCTCACCATATGCATTGCGCTCCAGTGGAACTTGACCGGCATAACCCCGCTTGATTTTATTGCCCCATCCGTGGATTTTCTACCGTGCTCTTTGAAGCTACGTCAGCTTTTAAGGCGGTCGGCTGCCCTCATTTTCATTAAAGTTTTGCATGTGGAAGGTATAAATCGCGACCTCCCCGGATACACTGCAGCCTCTTGCATTCTATACGCACTGCAGTTAACAGTTACTCCGGACCTGAGCGAATCCGCCGTTGACTCCGCCGCACGTATTCAGCGTCTTCTTGGTCTTAAGGCCTCAGCAAAGAGGTGATCTTATCCTCGTCTACAAGATAATACATGGCCTTGAGTATAGACTTCAATTTGAGGACATGTTTCAGTGGCACCTTTCACCCAATCTTCGTGGTCACTCCATGAAATTACGGGCAACAATGTCCCGGCTGAATCTTCGTTCTGAATTTTCCATGCAGAGGGTAGTGGAGAAATGGAACGATCTCCCTCAGTCAGTCGTGGAGGCTACATCCCTGCACCTATTCAAGAAACGCTTGGATGATTATTTGTGTCCCCTGTTTTCCCTCGATGGTCTGAATCTGAACTAATACCCCTGGTCCCCACAAATATTTTCTCTGAGACAATGCTACTTAACTGAACCAAGTACTGTTTTAATAGTGAACATTTTTGTTCGTGTACAGTTATTTCTAACGAGCTGACATGTAATCAATAGGGTTTTCAAAGGCTTTGCCTATTATCCTTACCAAATAAGCTGAATCAGCAAACATGACTCCATT